AAAAAAAATTTCTAGAAACTATTCCTCATTGAACTTGCCAATGCTCAGTGAATGCCATTTACCGACACGTCTGTAGGATCCTGTACCAACGTTCAGATTCCTGTCTTGAGATGGTGACACTGGCACAGCGCACCTCTACTAGCAGAGATGTTACCCACAGCAAGATCACTCCGTGTATACGCAATAGAAACCTAAAGAAAACTTTTTCCTCTTTGGGAGGAAAACTGTTTCCTCTTTTTCCTCTTGCGATTCAAACCACCCTTACACAGAGCAGACAGAATAAAGCAGATTGTAGGTCATAACTACGAAGGTTTTGTGGGTTATTCAAAGCATATACTGTATGCTATGTCTCCTTCGGCTGACACAGTTCAACGCCAGATTATAAGGAACCTCTGTAACACATGTAACTTCTCGGTATTGCCCAACGTTTTTGATGCACCTCTAAGGCACCAAAAAAACCTTCTGACTGGGCCAATATTATTATTAACATTTACATATTAACAAAGTAGGAAGAAAACCAAATACTACAAGGATCATAACACATGATGCTCTTGAAAAAAAATTAGTCATCACTGAAGATGTGAGTGTTGGCACAGAGTTCGTAATAGGTTTGTTACACCCCCAGAATGTATGACAATGTCTAAATACAACCATTATATATCACAAGCACTCCACCTTCTCAATTCTGACGAGCCCTGCCACTCACGCTCACACAAAAATTGTACATGGATGCACGTGTGGGCTGTGGTACAGACAGACTTGTCACATGGGTGATGATCTCAGCCAAATGAAAACCCTTTTCATTTCCCAAGCACACCAAACGCTTCCCCTACATTTCTCCACCTATCTACAGATAATCGAATGAATGAATCCGAATGAACTGATACGTATAATGATATGAACAGTTATGTAAAAAGTTCTCAAGTACATCCAGTTGTTTGACAGGAATGATGAGGAACATACAGAATAGAAGGTGGCACATACAGAGGTTTGGGGCTCCAATTTGGGATGCCCTGTCCAACGTATTGTCTCAATTCCAAACTTGTGTTACATCATATTGCACTGCCTTAAGTTCGCCGTACATTTCTGTATATCTTTAGATAGACGACAGGCAGACGCAGAGGACACACAAATATACATTACAATGGCGACACAAGAGCAGTTCCATACTGAACAAAGCAGACTTTCCATTAAGTTATATTTGAGCTCTTTGACTATAAAAACCGAAACAACAACAGAAAAATCCTGCCTCATTTTCTGATCAACTTTTCTCATTTATACTGCTGAGAGTAAGATCTCAAAAGTTGGACAATTTAGTCAGGCAGGAGTTTGTAAGATATGAGACCATGAACAACGATATTTATTTTTTGAAGTCATTCTTTTTTAACCTAGTCTTCATTTCGAAAATCATACAGAAAGATAATTTGTTTTTAAAATCCACTATTCTATAGTGAGAGCTAGAGTACAGAGACCTAACTTTATGAAGGTAAACAAACATTTGGGTAGTTGAGGTTATCTCTTTGCTTTAAAATTTCTTTTCATGAAAAAGCTTCAAAAACAGTATGACTTGTTCATATTCTAATAAAACAGACAAAAAAGGCACCTTACATTAAGCTCCTCATCATAAATACTCTTCTGACTGCAAAACTGTCATTATGGTCTGACTGTATTTTTAAGAGAGACTTCACTGAGAGTTCCCGAAAGCTGCAGGCTCACAATCCCAGGGAGATTCACGTCCCAATGCATTTTTACCATCGTTTTCCCCCTCTCCGTAAAGCAGCACGCACGCCCAGAGAAGCCGCAGCCCAGCTGCAACCTCTTCAACAAGCACTTTCTCAAACTCCAAACCCCTGACAAGTAGGTACTTCATAGGCACAGGTACACAGAGGTGGATATACGTTGCCCCAAGACGGCCAATTGATGACAGAAATGAAACGCCCCCATCCCCTCCATTCACACCCCGGTCCCCGCTCCGTACCCCGGCACCTCGTTACCAGATTTCCCCAACCAGCCTGTTATCTCAAAGGCATTAATTCTTCTGACACTTGTGCCTTGGCAGCGAGCAGGGGAGGTCTCTGCTGAGCAGAATAAACGCACGGCCCTGCGCGGGGCCAGGGCACAACGCATCGCCCACAAGGGTGTGCGGAGATGCGACACGGACCCTCGCTCGGCCAGAGAAACAAGCCACAAAGGTGCTTATTCAAGCCCACACGGTGACTTCGCAGAGTCATATGCTCTTCCCAAACAGGCACACACACACGCCACAGCCAGTGCAGAATTTATGAATTCTTGAGCATGCAAGAATATTATTCCTTCTCCACAGTATGCAGCTAAAGTACTTTGGAAACCATATAGCCATAAAGAGATAATTTACTGTCAAAATGCAAGTCTTCAGAACACCTGTCTATGGGGCCTCTCCATAAATTCACATAAAACTATCGAGGCTCAGGCTTCCAGCACAGCATAACCTCGTTGAACAGCGTTTCAGCTGCTCTCCAGATTCTCCGGTATTCTGGATGCTGTCCAAGTAGTAATTAATAGAGTCAACACATTCCCAGTATTTGGTGTTGATTCTGAACCGCACAAAATTGTCTCCTCTGAGAGTACTGAAATGCAGAACACATGAAATCACATCCGACGCTTTCAGATGTGGAACTTACACAGTATTTGTTGCGGATAATAAAAATCTCATCAGCCCTTATTCAAGCTAGATAATAACAATCTATTTTCCGTCAGAGCCAGGGACATTTAAAAAAAAAAACAAAAAAAAAAAAACAAAAAAAAAACCCCAACATGCCAGCTCCACCAGTTATGAAAAGAAAGAGCTACTTCTAGAAAGCTTTATTTTACAGCAGTATCAACATAATGTAAATAACACACTGGAAGCAGCTTCATATAATCCGGTTACCCACCACCAAATCACTGCAGAAGGGAAAGAATCTGCAGTTTGTGTGGTCCTGACAAAACAGCTGTACTCACAGTCAGCAGAGGGGCAAAGCCCTGTGTTTATTTCTGGAAGATCTACCCAGGAATGGTGTCGGAACCAATTTGTCTGGCTCCGTGCCTCACCTCCAAGCTTGCAAGACCACAGCTGAAAGGGTCATTCAACCCGTTATACCCCTGCGACGTCCCACCCGCTCGGCTTGCCCACCAAGATGCCAGTAAACAGCCTGGCTTGCTCATTCCCACCGCGCAGAAGCCACAGCTTCCCCAGAGCACTCGGATAAAGCTTTGACTGTTGAAGACGACTTCGGTGTCCTCTCCCCAAGTGCTCCGCAACCATTTCCAACAGCGCTTCCAAGCACTACCCATCCCTGCGACGCTCAGCCACACAACCGCGCAAGGCGTTATCAGACATGAACGTGACGTTATCACATCATCGAGTCACCCAGGAGAAGGCAACGCCGCGAGGAAAGGTCTGTGGCAGTCGGGGCACTACAGAGGTGACAGGCGTGAAGGGAAAAGGGAGAACTGTAAAGAGGGAGGAATGCCTAAAAGCATTCAAATATGACTGTGTTGTGTTTAAGAGGAGATTAATTATATTTCTTCTTCCTCATTTACAGCTCTAAAATGAACACCGGTTTGCTGCACACCAGCGTTTTCTCACTCACACCCTTGCACAGGGCCGGTATTACCAGACCCTGAGGGTAAGTCTTAGCAGCCCGAGTGTTCGTTTTATCGAGCTATCGTAATTCTCTTGACTTCTGAAAATCAGACTGTTAGTGCACGCTTTATTCAAACCTTTAAGAACATTAATGTCCCAGTGGTGTTTTACAGATGTCTGAGTATCTCAGGGACAGCCCATGAAAAGGACCTAAAATAAATTGTCCATGATCTGAAATTTACTTTACACACATGGAAGATTTTTAGGGCTCAGTAAAATAACAAATGCCAGCGTGTTTGGCTCAGGTTTCGATCTTGCAAAATCACGTAAGTCCCTCTAGCCTTCTACAGGAGAAGCTAACAACATTTAAAAAAAAAAAATAATAAAATAATCTCTGCAACTGCATCTCAGTAAATCACCTAACTACTGGATATGTAAAGGAAATAAATGCTTTTATTTCTCCTACTAATTTAATACAGGAAGTACACAATTTTCAAATGGGGCTTTCCTGTTCCAGTACCAGATACCAAAACTTCATTACACAGCTGTAATTACTTCCTCTTCATTATGTAGTTTATAGGTAAGAGGGAGAGGAAGGCTACGGTTCCGTGGTGGTTAACACACAGGTGGCACTTGGCAGAACCAGTGATCCTGATGAGGCAAGGACACAGGACTGCATCCTTGCCGAGTTAGCCAGGGAAGTTGGTATCGAGCTGTCGCTAGCTTCATACAGGTTCATGGAGGAGAGCATAAAGCATGCCGGCACAAGTTTAACCTGCCAGGAATTCTGGAATGCATTTGAACCATCAGAAAGAATTTATATCCCACAAAAACTCTGTGGTCAAACGATGAGATCTGAAGAGAAAGTGGAAGGAGGAGGGGAGGAGGGGAGGAAAAGGGAATGGATGGTGGCAGGTGGTGGAGGGGAACCAAATCCTGAATTATCGGGTTGGGCTGGAAATGACTCTTGAAGCAGGGAGAGCCAGAACAAGGGAAGAGGCAATCTTCCAAATACGTTTGGGTTATTTAGGAATATAGCCGTCTGGTATCAGCTAACACATAAAGCAACGAGCTCATTTCTGCAGCAAAGTGGTGGCACTAAGGAGTCAGGGAAAGTGACATTCCAAGATACTGTGTTAAGGTTCTTGCAAGAGACAAAATTGGGTTGATCTCTCCTTATGCATCTTTATATCCTTAAATAACCTCACAACGCAAGCCCTGTCCCCTCTGTCGTGGTTTAACACAGGACACCCTCCCACCCTAGAAAGCATTCCCTCTTGCTATAAAAATTAAAAAAAAAATATATATATAAAAAAGAAAAAACACCACGCAGTCATGGTACAAACCAGCTCTTGCGAAAGGGAATAACGAAAAACACAACAGTGTTGCTACTTACATTCTTGTATTGCTGGTCTTGTTGATAATTACAGATTTTCCAGTCTGATCCACATTGTGATCCATTCCAAAGTAAGCTGCCACTCGGTGCACTAACATCCTCTGATACGATGACATCTGAGGGAACTTTTTATAGTGATTACTGGAAAAAAAAAAACCAAATCACATCGCTAATTACATTTCCCTCTGAGCTAAAATTAAATGAAAATAGCAATACATTTGATAATTCAGTGGACAGGATTTTATAGTGATTACTGGAAAAAAAAAAAAAACAAATCACATTGCTAATTACATTTCCCTCTGAGCTATAATTAAATGAAAATAGCAATACATTCGATAATTCAGTGGACAGCAATCTAACTGAAAACTTCTCCTTTGTGCATTTACAGATAAACATTTGCTACAAGGCAGCAGAAAAAAGAAAGGAATTATTTTCAGAGTTTCTGACAAGCACATTTCCAGGCGCTACATTGGGACAAACCAAGCTCACACTTCATGGTAACTACGAGCATTCTGCCCATGGTATCTAGGAGCATTCTGTCCATCGGGAAGAACCGGTCCCCGACCCGGCGCACACGTGCTCCCGCTGCCTGCACAATCACTCCCGCAGACCTGCGGAGACACCGGCCACAGCTTTCTGCCTCCCTCCCAAAGGTCAGATGCAGGGAGACGCTCCAAAGATCTAGTTTGGCAAACACTCCTTTTTTCCCCTCTCTTACTGACAAAATGTTTATTTCATTGAAAGCTTTAGTTATATTTTTGGACCCAAATGAGCAGAGCCAGCGCAATTACGATGCAATTAAAAGCAAAAAATACAAAAACTGTATTTTAAGCAGTACCACCACGTGTCAGGAAACAAAAGCTTGATCTTGCATCGTGCCAGTCACAGTGCTCAGGAGCGCCGGGGTCCATAGGAGCGTATCCCTCGCACAGCTCGCATCGCTGCACGCACACGTGACTTAATAACCAAGTGCGGAACTCGACTTACTTGTTGTCGCTAATAAAATCAATAATTTCCTGTTCCATTTTCAAGAGTATCATCCTGTCCCTGTCAAAAAGAAACGCAAGGATCTGTAGCATCAACTACCAATAGGCATTTGAGATGAAAAAAATGAATATATCGATGTTTGTAAGGCAATTTTGCAAGCGTTGTCAGCCAACTTGATTAAAAATGAAACGTGCTTTGCCCTGGCACATCTGGAGAAGCCTGCAGCCTGCTTTGCTGCACCTTCGCCGACATACGTGACAGATTTAGCTCTTCCTTGAGCTCAGCTACGGTCTGAGTGCTTTCAGCCACACCAGGCTATGATCAATGCATTGCACACAAAGACTCCGACTGCTAGCGATAGCTTTGGTCCTTTTTTACTCTTTTTTTGATGGACAATAAGATTGCCAGCTAACCTAGCTCTTTCATGAGAAGAGCTGCTACCCACAGAAATTTTCAACACGTCTGAGACCTATCTCCCACGAGGCATTGATCTCAGGTGAGAGGACTGGGCACATCTCATCTTGTTAGAGAGCACAGGGGAGAACAACGCCTTTGAACCACAGCTCCCGGGAGGCAATGCTGCCGCATTCCTCAAAATGCTCTGTTTTCAATTCGAAGGTCTCAGATGTTCCTCCTTCCCCCTCCTCTCCTGCCAAAAACACCAAAAAATTTCCCCAGCATATTTCCACACATACATTTTTTTCTAAGCTTGACAGAGTCCAGCACTCCTTAATTCTTTTGAACTTTCTCATTTTGTGCAGATAAAGGAATTCCAGGACCTTCCGTCACCTACACAAGAGGTTACACAAGCTGTTAGGTACCCAGTTATTCCCAGTTCTCCTGTAATTCCAGAATTACGTGGCACTTATTTAACAGATTCAATTGAAATGAATGTTGAAAATCACAACATATAAAAATGTTATAAATCCTTCCTTACGCGTTTAGGGGCAAACTTGACGATGAGATGAGCTTGTTGCTCCAAAGGAAAACTGGGAATACTGAGAGCAGAATTTGGCACTGTGCACAGGATTTTAATTGTGTATAGCATTACCAAGCGAAAGCTACTTGACATTCACACACAAACCTCCAACTGCAATGGCTATAATGTATTACGGCTAACATCACGTAGAGTTATGTGCAAGAAGGTAAGGACAAAGACCAGATGTCGCTGAAAGTGAAATTAAGCCATGGGTGACTGGATGGGGGAGAAGTTGATGCCTTTTTATAGCTTTTTGCTCAGTTAACAGCCTACCTCCTTTACATTTTCCCTCATAACCATCTCCAGAACTAATAAAACACAGCGTACAGTTATGGGAACTCGAAGACCGTCAGCTATAATTTCATGAGTGCCAGCTCTAATGCAGAAAATACCTACCTGGGGTTATTCTTTAATGTGTTAATGAGAAACTCATGCAAATCTATGCCTGTTGAGTCTGTATACTCTTGACTGCAATCTGAAAAATAAAAACAAACGCCCCCACACTCATTTATTTCATTTCCACACTTACGATTAAGCTATGCTATAAATCAAAATCCATTTTCCAGCAACAATCTGAAAGCATATGCTCTGAAAGAAAATGTTAATTTGGAGTTCACGGTTCCTCTGTACCATTCTGCTGCGAGCGCAGCACCAAAACCAGACAGAGACAGAAACTGCTGGTCATTTGAAAAATCATCACAGGAAACCTTCAGTGCCACTCAAGACCCTGCCAAGTTCTTCCTTTAAAGTACTAAATAATTTTTTTTTAAATGAGGAAAATAAAAAGTTTTATTCATCAGCATCTCTTTGCATCACTTCACAAAGGCTGTACCCATGGCCGACGAGGCATCGTGCCAGTGGGAATTCTATTTGCATTAACAGACTGAAACTCAGTGACGCCCAAGAGTGGGCGGGTAACAGGGGTGCGTGACAGTTGTCAGAATTAATTTTTCAGCCTTGCCGTATCGCGTGACTCAAAAGCACACACAGATCCTCAAGCTGGTGTGAACTGTGAGAGCTCATTGAAGCCAACTGACAATTCACACCAGCTGCGGATCCTCACCCAGGTAGGCAATGATTATTTTTGAGAGATTACACTGCAACTTTATACCACAGATTAATAAAAAGATTTGTAAAAAAAACCCAAACAAACAACAAAAAACCCCACCAAATTTAGATACAAGATCTTTTCTGAAGAAGTCTTAGTAGGTGATAACAGTAGATTGTAATGCAGGTTAAACGTCATGGATGGATTTCCTTAGAGCATTTAAGAGAAATTCTCCATGAGAGAGGAACAACAGTGAAGCGGATTACTTTCTACTGCCTACATTGCACAAGTGACATGCCAAAATATTATAGCTAATGGGGAAAAAAAGTGTATCAAAGTTGTACGCTTGTCTTACTCCATAAACACACATATATTTACATATATGTGTGTTTAATATTTACATACATGTGTGTTTATACCAACACAATTAAATATTCAGAAGAATGCTTTTACATTAAAGAAAATTAATAACCTCTAATACCAACCCTCAGTTTGGAAGGTTTCTTCACTTTCAAAGTCAAATGTCTGTATGAGAAACACTCATGCATCCACATTTCACATTCTAAATTCTCTCAATGTATGAAAATACTTCTACTGTGTATTTACACACAAATAAAGTCATGTATGCTTATAAAACATACAATCCTTTTCATAACAAAAATATTTGAATTGCTGTAATTGTTAAGTTCACCTTTTGATAACATTCTGATCTTGCTTTTTTCACTGTTTTTATCTTTTTCTTTGTTTTTATCCTTCTCTTTTTCTTTCTCGGAGTCATCTTTACTAGATTTATCTTCTTCTTGCAAGCTAGGAAAACTTGAAAGCTGTAGTTGGATTGATTCCTGTTGGGAAAAAAAGACAGACAAATTTAGGGCCAGACACAGTAAGCTTCCCATAGCTTCCAACCTGCAGAGATCTGCGTTAAACTATGTGCAGTCAGAAAAGCTGAAGCCAGATACATTTCTTTCCTATTTGAAAAATGATCTTTTTTTTTTCCAGGAGAATAACGACATCTTAGAGGCCAAATTCTAGTGGTAAGTGTATTTCTTCCCTAATATTTGATCACGATAAACTTTTAGTCTACCTATATTAAAAGCACTATATTATTCTATACTTTAGTAATTTCCACTTAAGACTTACTAGAACAGTGAAATACATATTATATGGGCTTTAAGTAATTATATAAATTTAATTAACACTACACATGGTAAATGATGATCGATGGATAGATGTCTGAAAAATATAACTTTTTTTCCTCTCGGTAAAAAGCCTGTGGGTTCACATGAACCGTTTTGCATATGTAAGTGCAGTATCAGCTAGGCTGAGCTTTCAGGCTCTGAGAGTAGAAGAGTGCCAGCGAATTATAAACTCAATTGTCTACAAGAGGCTTACCAACTCATCAGGTACTTTATATTTAAAGACTTACGCAAACATGCCTTTAGCAAAAGGGGTGAAATGCACACGGCGATTTCCAAACAGGTTGTGGTAAGCGAACTTCTTCAAGGCATCACAAGTTCTATCCTCAAAAATTCAGTTTGTCAGAGACTATGAGTCCCTTTAAAAGCGGGCTTCAGCTTTAAAAACTTAATTAAAACTGGGAATTCAAGCTGGTTTGCATTTTCCGATTTGCTTTAAAGAACTTGTTATTCTGCACTTACAACATTACTTTATCTTGGCTTTGTTTTAACAAAACAGCAATTGTTTTCTTTTGAAGTTACCAGGGCATAATTTATATAGTTCAAGACATATCAATCTGGTCGGACAAAACTGAAGGAAGCATACTTCTGTGTTCATATTCTTTTGAAGAAAAAATGGCCAAAAAAATACTATATGCTTAAGCAGTATAAAAATGCACATGTGGATTAAGCTGTCACAAAACTCCCTAGTAATGCAATTTTCTTTAGTAGAAGACAGTCCTGCATGCCTGATAATTTTTTGGCATTGTGTTAATGAAAACCAAATTCACCAATACTGGAGAAAAAAATCAGAGTTTCTTGAATGCTAGTAAGTTCCCTCCCTTCACAATTTTTCAAGGAATACTAACATACCGAAAGATCTATACAGAACTTTAAAGTAAGGAGTGGGGGTTTTTAAGCAACCAGACCATTATGAATTCAAAAGATGCTTTCAAGAATTATTACAAATTTTAGGTTTATAAATTTTTAAAAGAACTACAAATCAGCCACCACAACACATGTAAGACAAGATCCTAACAGAACAAGATATCAGCATCAACATGCCACAGTAAGACAAAATCGGTAATTTCTCGGTTTAATCATTGTTGTTGACTTTTTGCAAAGTTTGAACGTGGCTCAAAAGACTTGAGATGAAAAGTGCCGTAAAAGAGAAACAAAGCCCTAGAGCTCAAATTTAACCTGACCTACTGTCCTTAATCCCTACTTCTGTTAGTTTTGGCTGCCAGTATCAGCCGAAAACTGAGCGTAGAGGGGAAGAGCAGGAACTCCTGGCCGTCTGAGGTAAGGATACAGAGAAAAACGTCTGCTAACCTGCTCAGTCGCACTCAGAGGACTACTGTTATGCCTGCCTCCTGTCACTTCAAATGGCAGTTCCATCTCTCATTCAAACAACCACCTTTGGATCAAGCACTGCCAAAAGATCCCAAAGGATAACTCCAATTCCCCACGCTGCCCGGAGCGCAGCGACCATGCCGTTAGCTTTTCAAAACAGGAGAAAAATGTAACTGGCCATGCTGTTCCCAGGACATTAATCCTAACCTTCACACTGGTTGTTAAAATGCACTTACAAAAAGAAAAACGACAGACTTTACACATAAGCACACGTATGAACATACAGGAGATACTGTCTTACATGTAACATCATACTTCTATATTTGCACTAGAAGAAACACACAAAAGGGCTGTAGAGTCGTGAAAGCAAGCTCCTGTATATTTTCTTAGATTTTTATTGATTTTTCTCAATAATAAAATACAACGTTAATAAATACATTGATACAAGGTAAGTATAGTGAACAACAAAATAAATGTTCAAATTGCAATAATACACTTCTTGGTCAATAGTATAACATTAAAGGCAACATTCCTTTTAAGTAAGGACATAGTGAACCATCAGGTAAGCGTTCAAGATCAAGTAATACAGGTAAACAAGTTTTTTTCCCTATACAGGAAAATGAAGGCAAGTATTCAAACGTAAATACAAACATCAAGTCTGCAGTACAATCCATACTCAGTAGTTCTGGCAATGTACCGTACATTCTCTGGTAATTAATTCCCTGTGCTTTGTAAACCATTAAGATAAAATAATAATTAGAAAAAAAGAAAATTCCAAACTGAAAATAAGCTTTTTCTCCTCTAAAGTGAAAGCAAAGCAATTCGATTGACACAAAACTTCCCGTATCCTTCAGCCGGTCCAAGGAGGAGCCTGCAGGTCCAACCTTCCACGGCAAAGCCGAGCCACATCCCTTAGGAAAAGGTCAGCGAGAGCAAAAGCGCAATTCCCATCTAATTAATTACACCAAGCCAATTGTGTCTTTAGGAAATGGATGCTGGGGTCCAGGGAGGCATTTTATCCCCCACATGCGTTTTGATATGGTCAAAGAAATCTTTGCGGCAGCTGGTCAGAGCCGGGTAAGACCAGAGGCTGTGTGTAACAGGAACCCTCCTCTGCCTGGCGTCGGGCTGCGAGCCTTGAACGCTGACAGCCGGACAGGGATTTTGCCTCAAAACCTGCCAGTCTCTCTGCTGTTTAATACAGGTCCTGTGCAGCACATTATAAACTACCACGTGATGCTTAATACAAGCTCTTTATATTATTCTCCTTTTCATTCTTCATCAAACAATAGAAAATACAAATGAAAGCAGAACAAAAGCCACGCATCTTGAGTAACGCAAGTTAAGCAGAAAGCATACACCTACAACAGAAGAACTGATAAAATAACCTGCCCATCTACTGCACAAGCATCATTGTAGAGCAGTAGAACATGTATACGTCCACCTGCTAAACAACCTGGGTTTTGGTCTTTCAAAAAAGCAAAAATCAACAACAAAAATTTTAAAAAATAAAAAAACCTCTCCATACTTATGAGCTAAAAGGAGAGCTGGATTTGTTTTGTTTCAAGTCAGTAGAGGAAACAGTGAGAAAGTACACTTAAATGGGATTTTTTTGTGCTAAGCTCACAAGAAATCAGTTGCTCAAGCTCTCTCGATGGCTGATCTCATCTGCACATAAACATCTCATAAGTTATAGGCAGTGCTCAGGATATTTTGGTTTGGTTGGTTGGTTGGTTTGTTTTTGAGCTTTGCTCTTACCAGGCAAGCAAAGAAGAATGTTTGAGGTTTTTACTTTTGCTTTTTGGAGCATTTGTTGAAGTTAGTCTACAAAGACTGCCACCAGTGTTACTGTGCGAGGCGAGGGGTGCAGGGGACAGAACTCTACCAGCTGCTGGGAATACAACACTACCCATACAGAAAAACTCAAATACACGCTTTTTGATACCAAAAATCTACACCAAGAGTTTAGAAAACAAATGCCACTCAGTAAGAGGCATCCTTGGCTCTACCAAGGTACTTTAGAGAGCAAAGGACCTGTGAATTTTATGTGAAGGGGGACACTGATATGAACTGGAGTCTCAGAGGAGTCAGAAACCAGAGCATATTCGTAACTGTATCTGGTGCAGCCTCGAAAGAGATAGCCTTAGAGAAAAGAACATATTAATATTCTTTTTCATTGTTACTATTTTTTTTAAATTTTAAAATCTGAATTCGTTTGAATTCTTTTCCATTTGCTGAAATTTTCAGGGGGTCTGGAAAAAAAAGCAAACAACACCCTGTGATATAGTACAAAACTAGTATTTCAAAATAAAGTTCACGCTAAACCAGATAACTTCATAAAAACGTGTTCATTGTCCGATGTAATTTTTCCCCCAAGAAAGACATCGTTAAACGCCCAACTAAGTAACACAATCATGCAACTGAACATGGAGGTCAACCATGCAGCTAACAGCAATGACTGCAAGTGTACCTGATTATCATGGAGAGTTTCTGCTCCCGGGCGAGGGGATGACTCTTCACACACAGCAAGACTCCGGACGAGTTTTCCTTTAGCTCCTGACTGAATAAGAGAGAGAAAAACCAAAACAGAGAACACTACTACTGACCCCACGTCACACAAGTTGCATGCATCAGCTGTCCCCAAATACCCCAACTAACTACTGCCCACCCAGCCAAACTGCATCTGCCTTCAATGTCGAGAGAAAAGGGTTCTAAGCAACGAGCCACTTGCCACGCAGGGGAGGTGGTAGGTTTCTTTGTGCTTTCAATCATTTCTGCTACAGTTCCCTCACTTCCACCAAAAATCGTGACAGTAAAGAACAGATAATCCAATACTGAAGGTAATTTAACATAAACTCAGAGGTTCCTTCTGTCATTTGGTTTTGGGTTTTTTGTGTGTTTGGTTGGTTTTTCCCCTCTTCTCTTCTTCTAGTAGTATTATATCCAAGGAACACAGACAAGAAGATGTTCAAGTTTTATGGATCTGCTCTTGGAAAATTAAAAGAAGGTTTCAAGGGTTTTTTTTTGTTCCTAGAAGATCCTTTTCCCACCCCCACCCCCCCTTAAGGAACTAGTCAGTCTCTGCTTCTTTACGTCATGATTAGTCCATTAGAACAAAATTCAAACAAAAACGTTAATTACTAAAGCAAAAGGAACCAGCTTTTTCCTTCCCCAGCAGTAGGCAGAAGCACGCGTGCTGCCTAACACAAGCGCACAGCGAGCCCAGCAGCACACAAGTACGAGGGATAATACAGGGGAGCCTGACATATCTTATCCAGAAGAAGTCCTCTGCCTTTGTGCAACAAAATTATGGGGTAAGGGGGAGAAAAGAAAAAAACAAAAACACCAACCCACAAAACAAACCCCAACCACCACACAAGTGATGAAAGGCCATCATTTCAATTGCAGACAGACATTTGGACGAAATTCTTTATCCTAGCATGGCATGCAATTCCAAACAGAGACGGACCCTTACCTTGGATCTCTTTTTCTGCTGGTTCTGATTTGCACCTCGTTTCTGGGTATAGCAAAAAAGAGAAGCAGTCATCACTTTGGTGGAAAACGTGCATGACAAGAGTATTATCAACAAATAAATCACTCCTAAATGATATTTTAATCAGTTACTGACTGCAAAAACAACTTCCCCAAACCCCATCTGGAAAGCAGGGAACACCAAGAATCATCTCTGCTCACTTTATTCATTTTAAGTACAGGCATAAACAACAAGAATACACTGCATACTGTTCTGTAACTTTGCATATAATAAAAATGTAAGAAAAGGCATACTTAAGTAAATGCTCCCTCTCTCCACATTCCTCTTAAATTGTAGTCTCCCCCTTTATTTTTATATTCGATTGAGCAAAAAGGATTAAAACCCCCTCATCCGATAAAGTCTTCTTATCAAATTACCTTCTTAGGCTTTGCATAACAACTTTTTGTTGGCAGTAACACCTACAAACCAAACCACACATTAAGTAATTATTCATTAGTATTACCTGTAAATTCATGAGATCAAGGTAGTTTTCTAAATCCCCAAAGAGGGAAAACAGTCAAATGTTTCACCAAACTTTACCACAGATGTCTAGAAATTAACTTCTCAGAAAAATTAATAACATGGACAGCAGCCTAAAGAGCTTGAAAGGTATAACAAATAACAGCATTTATTTCACAGAGAAATAAAAAGACCCAAAATAAAACATAAAAAAAGAGAAACAATCTAAAATTATGAGAGGGAAAAAATAGGGGAAGCGTAGGCAACGAAAAGAGATGATAGAAATGGAAAAGCAATGGTGACACACTGATATAATGTGCCCATTCACTACTCCCGTCTTACCTGCAGCTCTGTCTTGGCATCGCTCAGCTTCTCCTCCTTCTCCTCTATTTCCGAGCTTTCAGATTTATTAAGGATACAGTTGTCCGGGTTCCCTTCGGAGATGGCAGTCTCCTGCTCCTTCGCAGCTTCCTCTGCTGTCTCCTGGTTCAATTTACCTTGCTCAGACATTCTTCCAGACAGAAATTAAAATAACAAGATTTGGTGACCTGAAAGGTCAAGATACCACAACACAAACACACACAAAAACACTGGGGGTGAATTTTTTTTTACTTTTTTCTTTTTTTTTTTTTTTTTAATTCCCAAGTAAGAAATTTCATTTCCTTTGATAAACAAACCAAACTATGCCACTCGGGAGTGGAAATGTCCCAGCTGAAGAGCTGTACTGAATCAACACTACTGGACAACTGCAGAATTATGTCAGGTTAAGCAAGCAGAGCTCCGACCTGAGCAGCCTTGGTGAAGAGCAGCTCTGAGGCAAGGGGCTGGGACACCCCAGCCCAGCCTGGGAC